CAGTGGTTATGCATGCATTGGGCTGCTAACTATAAGGTCAGCAGTTTGAAACCACCAGCCCTCTCCTTGGGAGAAAGATAGGACTTTCTACTACTATAGAGAGTTACAGTCTCGGAGCCACAGGGGCAGTTCTGCCACATCCTATAGAGTCGCTAGGAGTCGACAGAGACTTGATGGCAGTGAGTGAGCATACGCCCACAGCAAATTAATGAACCAAATAGGTGTTTTTAAGGGTTTTGATCTACATTTAATCATAAATGAAAATAACCTAAAAGACAGGTTTCCAAGGAACTGTATCTTAGAATATTTCTATAATATTAAAATCAATTCTGTAAATTGCGTAGCATATTAAAAAAATTAAAATAAAGAAGGAAGTTGTCATCAGCATTGGTCATAAGAAAAATAAAATAGCATGATAGTTAATACAGACTCTAAATCGTAGATTAGGATACCTGAATTGGTTGTAATTACAAATACTCATATTGAAATTGTATTATAAAATCTATGGCAGTACAATAAATAGGTTAAGTGGGAAATCATAATCGAAAACAAGTTAAACATATTACAACTTAAATTACAATCATCGTGCATGGTGAAACTATAGGGTTTTATCGGTTAATTCCATCATCGGGTCAATAATGTAGAAATTAGTTTGTTAAGTCATTATCCACATTACTATATAGGCGTGACTGCTCAGAATCATTTGGGCCAATTTTTAAAGGAGCTTTGAAATAAATGAATCCCAAATCAAGATATTAAGTGCCAACTTCTAAGGGGCAATAATGCTCATGGCTAAGTCAGAAATTAATCTTTCCAGAAACGCTGACACAGCCTGTAACTGTAGGCACTCGTATGTACAGCTATAATTCTTTTTTCAATCTTACCTAGAAAAGCTCAGGTTAAAGAGTCCAGAATATGTAAACAGCTAGAGGTAGTCCTGGAGCTTTTACAAAATCACAAACCTGTGACACATTTATATTCATATTTGATTGCTAAAACAAAGTGACTAAATCATTCGAGACGTATTGATTAGCACCTTATTAGTTCAAAAGTGGGCAATGCATTAGAGAAATCAACATTCCTTACTTTATTCCACTTGCAAGAGCTATCCAGTTTAAGCTGACAATGTAAAAACTCTAAAAGCTTTTTCAAAAAAGCCTTCTGCCTTATTTAGCATTTTGACCACTAATCAAAAACAATAAAAAGAGATTAAGAAAAATAAATAAAATACAAGAGATAAGAGATCTTTTTTTTTTTTTGCCATTAGGAAATCTATTAAGCTATAAAATAAGTTCCCAAGAATGACCAGATTCCCATGTTGAAGCCCTTTAAAACTGGACCAGAAAATTAATCCCAGAATAGGTCAAGGGAACACATCTTTTACTAGGAGCTGGTGGGTGGATCAGGGAACTTAATGAGAACTTAATTTTCTAATCCCTTCTCCTTTTTAAAAATGTTTAGGATAATGATGGTCATCATGAAGCAATTACAACACAACAGACAGGGCCGGGACAACTTGAAATCATAATCATGATGTGTTTATTCTTCGCCTCTCATCTGGACAAAAGACAAGTATTGATCCTATATTGAGAAGTACATTTTGATGTTTATTGATAAAAAATGTGGTAGGAAAATTGTGACTTTTGAATGGCAGAAAGCCATGAGTTGTCACTTAATAAATACAAAGTAGGGTCTAAATATGAATCACAATATACAAATACTTAAGTTATTATGATAAATAAAATATTCTTAATAAATTCATGTGAGATGGCTCTATATCGTGAGGACAAATTCTAATACATTGCCTCGCAAGTATCTGATTGTACAAGATTTTTAAATTTGCTAACTTACATTACTTTTACTTCATATTTTATTTCATAAGCTCATTTTTCATGAGACAAGTTGAAATGGATAACTAATTTAGTTAAAAATCCTGGCTAAATGTTACCTTAAATTCAAGCTAATCTTCTCTTTTAAATTCAAGTTTAACTACAATCTGCGCTTCACTTAAAGGCAACAACTATAGTTACATGAGTTACAAATTACCATGCAAATCTGTGGAGGTTGTCATCCGATGAAGTCTTTACCTTGTATCCCTGTCATGAAACAACGTTCATGTTGTTGTAATATTAATTTCAAATGCTAATTTTATCTTCATTAGACAGTAGGGAAAATGTACTATTAATATTTTTATTAAAAACATGCTACTGAATAAGAGTTTTTTTATAATAATGACATTCAGGATGGATGAATTTTGCACACGCCTAGTAATCTTGTAACTAGACGCAGTAACCTGTTTCCAGAAACCCTGGACCTGGGCCAAGAAAATTGGGCAGGGACGGCAATCGCCTGAAATGCTTATCGATTCAGCTATTATATTCTTTTAAAAATGTAACTGCCTCAAAATTAAGTAAAATAATGCGCATTCTTGTAACAATGTTATGTGGTCACCGACTTATTTGGGCTAAACGAATGGTCTGTGACTACTTTCCAGTAGAACAGGCGATGTTCACATCAGCACATTTCCAGTATGCCCAAATGAACCCACAAAACCATTTTACTCCTTAGCTTCCCCCACCCCCACCCCAAGTATATTCTCCACGCTGACAGTGCAGCTGGAAAAGTAAAATCCAATTCCAACAGCAACCCAACCCTGCTTTGTCAATAACATTTAAAAATTATTTATTTTCCCTTTGCTTCATATCAAGCACAGGGCAGATTTTCTGAATACATAGGGTGCCTAGAAAACAGACAGGCAAATTGTCAGACCTAGAGAGCACTGACTCCTCTCCTCTTGCCGTTAGAATTCAACCAAGAAGTTCAAATTCAGCTGCAATCGGTAAAACGAAACTCTGAGTTGTATACAGGAGCAAATTATGATCTGTTCTTTGTGATACCTACTGGTGGGGAGGGGTGGGGGTAGAGTGGTGAGTGTGTGGTGGGACTACTGGGGAATGTTTCAATTTAGATCCACCCAGTTGAGCCACTCTGCTTGCCTTTCACATCCTAACCCCCTTGTGTTTTTCAGCTGGAAATGTGCTCTAAGAAGGTGGAGAATGTAAACAGCCTTTTATTGTCCAAAAGGACAGCCATGTAAGGGATGTTCGCTTATCACAGGGCTGCAGCTCCCCACCTCACTTACCATAATAAAGTGCTTCAAGGAAGGAAAAAAAAAAAAGAACATTACAACCCAAGCACAATCCAAAAATGGATTAGAATTTGACATAGGCTTCCTTAAAAAAATGAATCAATCAATCCGTGCTGTAATATTAGAACCTAGTTCTTAAGGGGTGTACAATCCCTTCACGATGCATTTCTTATTCCCTATTGACAAAGAGAGTGCAAAAGGGACAACAACAACAACAAAGGAAATCAAACATCTCCAATGTAGCAGCTGGAACTTTTGCCCATCACATGCCCTGCTACAGCTGCTCCTCTCTAAGCACCTAACATGGAGCAAATGCACCCTTTCTAACCACTGAATGCAAATTTAAAATGATGGCTTCAGCTATTCATAAAGATTCTGTGAAAGCCCCACTTAAGGACCTGACTTCCTCCTGTTTCCCGAGTTTCACTTACACCAAACAAAGGTTTGTTAGATCTCCTTTTCCTGGAATCCAGATTAAGAATTTGAAGAAGCAAGCGAGGCTAATGTAGGACTAATGTGACATGTTTTGCATGCATAATGTCTTAGATGTCAAATGTACCTTAACATGTATTGCACTCAGATAGGGAGCCAGTAAGAGCTGGCTCGTTCAAGAGCATTTGGATCATCACTGTATTTCTCCTGCCCCCCCCCCCAACAGAATAATTTCTTAAACTGTGCAAGGGAAGCTAATTACTACTGTAACAAGAAGGGAGGACCCTTCAGTGGCCTGATCTCCTTTACCAGGACCTTTTAAAATCCTTTCCACCCTAAAAACTTAGTGTCTTCGTCCCCACATCATTATACTATCACAGAGAGGCTTCCATGAGTTACTTGATTTTCCCTCTTAAGACAAGTATTAAAAAAGGAAAGACAGGCGCCTTCCAGGTGCGCTGGTTCTAACAGCCAACAGCTAAGTGGATGGAGTCTTATGAGAAGCAAACAGGGCGGCAAGCAAAAGAAAGCCCTCTTAACATGAGCTCAGGAGACATCGATCACGTTGGGACATCGAGCAAAAGCAGTCCGTTTAGAATTTTACTTTAAAAGCTGCCTTTTCAGAGGTCTTAATTAGGACACTCCTTAAATATAACTAAGTATACCTCCAGTCTATGTGTATATGTCATGAGAGCGTGGCTCTCGGCCGAGAGATCCTGGAGAAAGCTTCCCGTTAGGACATCGCTGGAGGCTGGCTCACTGAGGATCTATCTCGAAGTCACCTCCACACCTTTCCGATTCCTCAGCGCCCCACCCCAGCGGGCCAGACGGGGCGGGAGGCCAGGCAAACCCGCTAGGAGATGCGGGATGAGGGCCGTGTGGAGTTGGGCGCGAAAGTTCTCTCCTGTGCACCCGGCCGGCAGAAACACCACCCTTGTCCCCTAAGCCAGACTGATCGCGAAGAGAAATCCAAAGTGCCCCAAAGCGCGTCCTTAGCCTGACATTTCGTCCGGCAAGGTGCCAGGACCTAGCCCTGCGGCCCACCAGGAGCCAGGCGCTCGCGTTCGAAAAGTCCATGGGCAGCTGGCCCAAGTCACCCCGTGAAAGAGCAAAACCCCTGGCCCGTCAAACTCCGTGCGTGTCTTCCTCTCCACCATGGACTCCATTCTCTCCTCCATCTCTCGGCCGCGAATCTCTGCCTTCTCCCAGCCCTTCTTCTGGGCACTTTGCACCCACTTCTCCCCGGTGCTGAAGTCCCGATCTTGGCTCCGCGCTGCACCGGCCTCCCAGTGCCCTCGACCACTCCATTCCCCAACTCTCCCCCGGCAGACTCCACTCCCATCCCCAATGCCCCCCTTCCCGGTGGAGCGTCCGCGCGGCTTTCCCGCCGAGACGCGCCGGGCGCGGGGCGGCCACTCACCAGCTGCAGCAAGCCGGGGACCACGACGAGGGGCAGCGGCCGCAGGCGCATGGTGCCGGCTGGCGCGGCGGCGTCTCCCGAGCTGCGCGCCGTCGCCGGACTCGCGCGCATCGCCACTTCGGGGGGCAGGACTGAGCACGCCG